CTGCTTTACCATCAACTGCATGAAAGAAACAAACAGCGACAAAAGAAATGGGTGAAAGAACAAAAAGAAATGAACGGTGTTCGAAGGATGCTGGTTTGGGAGGTGGGGAGGTGGAGGAGCCTTCAGAGATGCAAATTCCGTTAATAACCTCTGCAGCTTGAAACGGTACAGTCCAGGAAAAGCTATAACATCAGTTCTGATGAACTGATAAAATGGCTCTTTGAGGAACACCTGCTGAGACGTCTTCTGCGGAACCCACAAGCGGGCCTTTAAAATCAGCTTTGAGGGGATTGTTTTCTCTGCTCCCCCCCCAACCAGCTACCTTTTGTGATGTTCGCTACTCCCTTTGATGGCTTTTTCTCCCTTTCTTGCCTCTCCATCCCACCTTTTTGAAGTGGAAGGTACGGTATGAGCAGTTTGTCGGTGGTAGAATTTAGCCTTGCTTAGCTGTAGAAACAATGAAGCAAACTTGTTGCGTTACCAAACCACGGCTGTGTGGGGGAGGGCGTCGGGTGTGGGGGGACTCCAACACCACTGAGGTGCCATACATTTTGTATATTAGAGACTAAATATTGAGGGCCCCAAACACATAAAGTCCCAATTAGTTCATCAGCCCAGGCCACAGTGTGCGGTAAAGAGGTTCCTTGGTTCAAACCCCGACATCTTGGATGCAATGGGAGCATTTAATGTATTGTTTTATTATTTATTTATTTATTTTCCATATTTATACCCCGCCCTCCCCAGTGGGCTCAGGGCGGCTTACAGAGGCAAGACAACTTGCCATAATAAAACAATAATATACATAACGATTTAAAACATGTACTACATCTTAAAATCTTAATTAAACAAAGTGCTCAGTGCCATTCATAATCTAAGGATGACGGATCGTATGTCCAAAGTTCCAAGAAGACGGCAGAGGCTTCTTCCATACTGGGTGTTTCATCGGGACCTCAGGGCGGTGGTAGTATAGTAGGGGCGGCGGCTCCTACTCAAAAGCCTGGTGGAAGAGCTCCGTCTTGCAGGCCCTGCAGAACTGCACAAGATCCCGCAGGGCCCTGATCTCCCCTGGGAGCTCATTCCACCAGGTAGGAGCAGCCACCGAAAAAGCCCTGGCCCTTATAGCGGCTAGTTTGACATCCTTGGGGCCCGGGATGACTAATAAATTTTGGGCCCCTGACCGTAGTGCTCTTGGGGAACATACGGGGAAAGGCGGTCCTTCAGGTAGGTTGGACCCTGGCCATGTAGGGCTTTATAGGTAACGACCAGCACTTTGAAGTGTTTGGGGCCCCCAGAGTCCTCCCCAAGCGCCTCAGGCCCTGCAACTGATACACAGTATGAAGACTCTGTATTGCCCAGTGCTGGAATAAACCCTAGGAAACAGGCTTTCTATCCTTGCCTGGTCAACAGACTAGATTCTTCTACCTATTTATTAAAAATCATTACGGTCCCACCCGGTGTGCAGAGCCAGTGAGTGTCGCGGATGTGGTTAGAGTATCGGAGAAGACCCAAATCTCCACTAACCCGGAGAGGGATCCTAGCACGGTCTACTGAGAATCGTACTCGGGTCTGTTTGTCGGGGCTTACTGCTAGGAAAACAGGGCTGCCAGGCCTCCAGCTATAGCAAAAGGCCCTCTGCCAGCAGCAGTGTCATGAGAGAAAAAAATTAACACTATTGTGTGTGCCACTCTTCGACCCCGATCACACGCAGAATTTGCCACGGGATACTCACAAATGCCGGCCGGATTTTACTGGTGTGATCAAACGGACACAACTGGCCAGCGTCCCGCACCCACTGGCAACCTGTAGCAGTCAGCCAAAGAAGTGGAGTTTAAAAGTACCCGTGAAAGTCCACTCTCAAATGGTTTGCGACGGGCTGCAGACGGACTTGCTCTGTGTGATCACTCCAGCGTGCTCCTTTTGCCTCTGTGCTTCCTCATTGGAGCGCACCGGAAATACGCGCCCACGGGAAGAAACCTGGTACACCGCCATCGCGTCTGATCGCCTCAGGGTGGGTCAAATTGCGATGGCGCAAATAGCCACGCCTCCCCCCCTGCGTTATCCGGCACGTGTGACCGGGGCCTTCATAGAGTTTACAGTGATTCCTAGAACTACCCTAAATCACTTCCAGATTTTCCCCGGAGGTGACAGCGTTGTGGCTCCCCCATATCCCCTCCCCCAACCAGAGGCTGACAAGAATGGCCTGGCAACCCGATAGGAAAATATTGGTAGGATGGCACCATTAGTGACCTTCGAACAGTCATTCATTATCACATACCTCACAGGATTGTTGTGAGGATAAAATGGAGATAACCATGCGAGCCGCCCTGAGCTTATCAGAAGAAAAGCAAGATAAAAACAGGATTGGTAAATGGACCTTCAGGGCAGGTCACAACACATTTCAACAACTCAAGCCATCAAAATTACACTTTTGAAAACAAGACAGAGCCAAGAAGTCGCTTATTCTCCTAATGACAATGTAAAACCATCAGTGTTCGACCAGCATTAAAACTGTCAGCGGTCAAAAATCAGCATCCTTGCAAGACACGCACACCCCCAAAATTATACAGCTG